CATAGCTGATTTTCGAGACATTCGCTATGATTCTTTTTCAAATGTCTATTATTCGGTGACTTTTCAATTGGAATTTTCTTCAAAATTTTACTGCTATTCCCCATTGCTTATGGTACACCATAGAGTTTTATTTCAATACCTTGGAAGGATTAGGAAGGATTTCGGCACGGCTAGAAATTCCTGTGTCATCAGCTGTGAAGCAAAAAATAATCGAAAGTAATTAATATTTTCTGTCATTAAAAGCTTAAGTTTTGGAATTTTCCAGATAAGTGGAATATCAGAGAAGATAGAGAGGAACGTGTTCTACACGCTAGTATAGTCAGATTTTAGAGACAGCAGAGTTTACCAAAATAACAAGACATACAAAATTACCCACATTTCTACACAATGGTTGTTTTTCTGTATGCATCTGATCTTGATAGAACTTTAGAGATCCACGTTTTTTGGTGAGAGAAACCTAATAGGATTACCAACGGCTATCGAGTATTCGCTCGATAATCTGATGTGTCATAGAGGTCTGATGGAAGATTTTCATCGATACTACGATTGGGTCACTCTATGATGTGTGGCTGAGTTTTTTTTTATTTTCCTTTTTTGTCCTACTCCTTGTGGTTAGCCACACCGACATATATTCCACACGCACACACTCAGTTCGATCCTCAATCGGATGGAACAATAGTGTGTCAAACGACCACCTTATATTCAGAATCATTTAGTTTGTCATTCAATTTTTAGCTCTGATTCTATCTCGATCAATTTCAAGTGTCACAATCTCTCATGTCTTGTTTGTTTCAGATATTTATTTCGTGTTGATTGATTACAAAAGGCGAAAGAACTTCTAAAAAGCAATCTAGATGCAGCTGGTATATTCCATTAGAATAACGATTACATATCTCCCATCAAAATAACTCGGTTTTCTAAAGTTCCATCTGGATCAGAGGCACACAGATAAACAGCTATTTTACACAAATGTGATCAACTTCCTACCCCTTATTATCTTAATGAACTCAAGCTCTCCTAAAACTCAACTATATCAGCGCCCAGAGCAGACTTTATTCATCTTCTCTGATATGTCATTTATCTGAAAAATTCCAAAAAATAAGCTTTTTGTGAGAGAAAACATATGCCGCTTTCGATTATTATCCGGTACACACTTGATGAGACATGAATTTCTAACTCTACTGTAATCCTTACCAAGGATTTCAAGATATTGAAATAATACTCTTTAATATACTATAAGCAATGAAAAGTACGAATAGCATATCGGTAGAAATTTTCAATAGAAAAGCCAGTGAATAATAGACATCCGAAAGAAAAACATAGCTAAGGCTTCGAAAATCACCAAAGAGATTATGATCGACAGAAGGCACAAAAAGTCGAGCATCTGCATTGATGGACGTTACTATTCAGGTGGAAAGCTGTATTACATGCACAAGTATTGGAAACATCCACGTTTCGTGTGCAGGATTTTCTCAACGTGGTATATTGGATCTTTCCTACAGTATTATCTTATGTCCTATACGGTTTTTTTTCCACAGTCCACTTATTTATGTTCATATATGTGATCATTTTAATTCTTTTGTGTGGTCGAAACTTACATTCATTATCTCATTCTCTAGCCGTTCTTCTTGTATTTCCTCTACTCGTAATCATAGTTAGGATACCAATAATAAAACGTACTTATTCACAAACGAATAAGTTTTCAAAGTGAAAATAAAACATACAAAATATACAGATGGGATATTTTCTATCATCATATTACATTTAACTGATCACTAGCTTGAGCTCTACAAACACTGCAATTGTCATGCTGACAGACGATAATTTGTGTAAGTGTGATAGGAACCCGGTGTAGACATCCATTAAGAACAAACAATCCAAGCCATAATTCTGTAATCCGAAAGAAGTCTAAAGACTCGCAAAGTATTTTTCCGACATTTCAATACTACATTGTTATAAGAATTTTACATCCGATCTCAACAAAAGGCTGCAGTAGTGAACTCCTTATATAGACTCGAAACTCAGTATGTATCTGGTCAAAATATTTGTAAAAAGTATGTACTACACCTTAAATTTCAAATAACGTTCCACAAAAAAGGCGTTTCCTACACACACATATATATGTATATATATATATATATACAGTGGGTCTCAAAATTATTCAACCACGTGTAATTTGGATTTTTTTTCGTAGCCTTAAGCGCTAGAAAGAATCCAAATGGTGATTTGAATAAAGAATATTGTTACCAACAAGAATTTGACAAAATGATAATTGTCATGAATTTTCCTAAAATAGGATTTCTAGAAAACCAAAACCATGGTTTTTCAACATCCAGAAGCTACAACAGAAGCCTTGTTTTGACAGTCTGGAATTATAGAGCAGCCAATTCTCTACAAAATGAGACGTCTCCGAGCTTTCTACGACATTCCCTTCAAAAGTTCTAAGCGTCACAAAAATCGAAAAAAAGTGAAATTTATGAGAAAAGCGACCAAAAACCGCATTTTTTCGATTTTTGTGACGCTTAGAACTTTTGAAGGGAATGTCGTAGAAAGCCCGGCGACGTCTCATTTTGTAGAGAATTGGCTGCTCTATAATTCTAGACTGTTAAAACAAGGCTTCTGTTGTGGCTTCTGGATGTTGAAAAACCATGGTTTTGGTTTTCTAGAAATCCTATTTTAGGAAAATTCATGACGATTATCATTTTCTCAAATTCTTGTTGGCAACAATATTCTCTATTCAAATTACCATTTGGATTCTTTCTAGCACTTAAGACTACGAAAAAAAATCCAAATTACACCTGGTTGAATAATTTTGGGACTCACTGTATATATGAATGGGCACCGTTTATAAAGCCCACAGAGAAAATCAAAGGACCGAAATTCCGTCATTGCAATTCAAGAGCAAACAGCAAATTCTCAACATTATCATCATTCAATATTGAAGAACCATAAAGACATTTACCTTGAGTTCAGTGATATAAGCTAGTGTCATACATTGAAGAAGTCATTTAGAAATTTCTTTCCAGTAGTAAAATCATATTCACACCGTCATTGTTGCACAAACAAAACTGAAGCACTTAAAAACATGAAAAATGGGTTACTTCTTTGTAAAACAAACTTTTTGCGGCATGCTTTTAAATTCTTTATTTTTACGCATTTATCAATGCAGAAGAAAGAAAAACTTATTGCGATTGTATTTTTCTTCTCGTTCTGAAGGTCGTCATTTGATAACAAAGTCAGCGAAATAATTAATGTCCATGGCTTACGCTATGAGCGAAATGACAATGGATCGTACAAAGATTCTTACTGAAAATGAATGGTTTAATTTCCTTGAATCCGCATTGAAACTACTCGATAATAGCGAACTCGATAAGAAAGAAATCGTACATTTATTGGCATATCATTTTATGACAATCGATGATGTCATTCGATTGACAAAACAGCAACTTGTAAGTTGAAATTTTCCATTTTTATCGTGAAGATATTATCTTAATAGCTTGGTCTTTGCTTGCATTGTGACTGAACTATAAATATAAGATCAAAAGATTCTTGCGAAAGAAAATATTCGACAATCGAACAATAACATTTATTCTATAATTATATGTTGCTTTTGTGACAGATAACAAAATTCAATATTACACAACAAAATCTTCTTGAAGAAATCATTCAATGGCAAGAAGCATTCTTCCTAAATGTGAAAGAAACAACCTGCGAACAATCTACTAATAACGACAATCATTCGTTGAGCTCATCATCAAAACCGAACTCTCTTATCGGGCTTTATCAGTGTTTCACCGGTGATATCAGTGAAGACGATGTCAAAGAAGCTTTAGAACAACTACAATTAGTTGGCGACGAGCAAGCAGCTGAATTCACTCGATTATATGAATGTTTCATTGAAGCTCTTCAAGAGTTCGGAAGTAAAAGTTACGAGGAGAGTGAGCAAATTTGGTATCGCTGTAGAATTTGTCGTCACGTCGTCTGGATAGCTAGTTATATGGGCGCCCTGACAAGTTTTCCCGCTTGTTTTCGATGTCAACTCAAATCATTGAACAAAACGTTTCCCAATGAACACAACAGCAACATTCCCGAAGATCCTCTCGATTAAACGAATCCGACACAGACTGCAGAATAAGAATTTTTGAGACTTGTACTAAATTTGCAACAGATGAAACAATTGACTAAAATAAAGATAATTTCGTATACACACTAATTCTGAATCGAATAGTTCTCTTCTTTTCACTTTTTCAAGAGACGAATCGATTAGAATAAATTCTGTTGAATGTTTACACAAAAGAATTCATCAACAATTTAGGGTGTGCGTGTCTACGCATTTCTCTTCACTTAAGTCCCATCTACATCAATACACTAATTCTAACCCACTAAAATCCACACACAACCATCCAGACCCACCCTTAATCGTATATACAGACATAACTACCCACAAACACATCCACATCATATAGACTCTCAGTCACACCCACTTCCACAGCCATACCTGCACCAATACTCGTACCCATTGGTAAATGTTTTATTTATTTTAAATCAAATGATGATAGAAACAAATTTAGAAATCTTTACTGTAGAACATTAGCATCACTTGTGATACAGAACAATGATTTCAATTTCTTAAGCTCTTCAAAACATCCAAATGTCGATAAATACTATAGTAGAAACGATTGTTTTTGGTTTCATTTTACATGAGCATGAAACGTAGTCCTTATGCAGATGAGGATCTTTGAGTTTTTCTAATCTCGAGCATTATAAAAAAATACCGTAACCAGGATTCTTGACATCGAAAGCAAGCAGGCAAGATTACCAAGAAACGCAAACCTTCAGTCAAGCAGTACGCTCTATGACAGAGTGCACATTTCATGGAATATTTTTTCTCATTCGATTTTTCACACTGTTCTTCGAAGATTTTGAGCATTTTATCGCAGTTTTGGACCATCTTATAAATTGCGTTCTCATTACTCTTTGTCACCAAACCTATGGCTGACTCAATATGTCCATCGTTGATCTTCATCATCACATACTGAATTATTCTAATCAGTGGATTCTGCTTTGCGGATAGACGAATATGCTCGGTATCATTCAGATCTGAGCTTGTTGGCTTGTTTGATTGCTTATTCATGCATTGAGATACTTGCCATTTTTTAATTCTATTGATTAGACCTATTTGGTCAAAATTAAAATTGGTTTCCTGCAAACAAATGAACAAACATTTTCTAGTGCCAGTTTTCGAATCATAGCAAGTCAAACAGAGCAAAATAAATTTACCAGTTGCTGTTCAGTTAATTCACTGAAATCATCGATAGTCATGGACGAGTCTGCCAACTGCTTGGCGAATCTAACTGTTTCATTCCTAGCAACATTTGGTAGTGATACCTCATGTTGTAGAAAATTAAACCATTCATTCTCAGTAAGCAATGTTGCACCGGTTATCATTACTTTATTCGAAGCGTATGCCATGTTCATCGACTATATCAGCGACTTGTAGCGTTGGAAGTCTGTTATTCTAGAGTGGCCTTCAGAACAAAAAGTAAAATACAACTACGACAAACTTTCTTTCCATTCTTTATGATGCTGTTGGAAAGTAGAAAGCGGTAAAAGCTTTTTCATAGTTGTTTATTCCTCTTACAAGTGCTTTCGTCTGAGATTGATTTTTTTTCCCTTCAGGTTATTTTATTTAATGTAAAGAAAGCCTTCAGCATAAACCCTATCGAATGAAAATGTGAAACATAATGAATCCACGTTACTCAGGGTGTGGGTGTAATTGTAGGGTGGGTGTGGGATGAGCGTGGGTATTGGTATCGGTGTGGGTACGGTGATCGAAAAAGAATAACCTACACCTACACCCACGCAACCCCAGCCGCACCCACACAGACACCCATATCACACCCACAGAGACATCCACACTCACATCACACCCTTTTATGTAATAATAAAAAAGCTTAATTCAAAAAACGGACAATTCAGCTTCACATACTCTTTCAAATAAGAAAAGGCAATTGCCTATAATGAAGCTTTTTCGAGAACTCTGGCATGTACAATAAAAATGCACAAACAGAGAAAAAAATAAAAAATATTTCCCGTTTTTTCTGAAAACAGCATATTTTTTTAAGTAGATGACGACGGAAATCATATAAAATTCTAGCAAAAGCCAAAGTGTCAAATAAAAACTCATGCCGTTGATGAAAGATCAGACATCAGGCTATTCTTTCATGGGTTTATTTACGTTCCGATTTTTCTTACGAAAATTGACTTTTTTTTTTAGAAAGCAAGGGTCCTAAAAAATTTAATGATCCATGATTCATTTATTAAAAAGTGATTATTAGTTAAAAATAACCACTCATATACTTTCTAACAAATTGCTTTCATACTTATAGCGATCCTCTATCAACTTGAATAATCCTTGTTGCTTATTATGGATATCAATACTAAAAGTTAATATTTCAAAAAAAACAAGTTTCTTTTTTCCCGCTTGTAGAACTAATCACACATTGTCTTTTACTTTTACACGGATGGCATAAAGAAAAAAAACAAAAAGTTTAACATGCCAAAAAATAGACAATGAAAACACGAGTCACAGTCTCGGTACTAAAGCTATTTATATATATATATATATATAATATGTATATAATAATATATGCGCTATGGCAAAACAAACAGAAAATTAGAAAAAAGATGAATACAAATGTCTTTGGTTTTTCTTCATCATCCATATTATTTTAGTGTCTCAATCATCCGTATTGTATACAAGAAAAAAAAACAAAAAGAAACTATATACAATAGAATAATAAGAAAGTCTTATTGATTTGGACTATCGGACAATATGCCGGTAAAAAAGAAATTCATGACAACCAATTTTAATTACTGTTCCTTGTTCAATTTGAGCAGGTCCATCCCAAGATGAATGAGAATATGATTTAGTTAAATAATAACATTTTTCATTCTCTTGTTTATTATTATTATTATTATCATTATCAGTTATGATATTTAAACCATAACGTAGATCATTAACAATTGTTCCATATTCACTATAATTTAATAATTCAAATATATTATTTTTTCTATCATAATATAAACAAGCATGTCGTTCAGAAATATATTGACATGTATGAGAATGATTAAAATTTTTTAAACATATATCATTTAATAAAGATGAACCAAACCAAATAACATATTTTCGAATATAAATAATATTTTGTGAATGTAAATGAATAAGAGCAGCATGAGATAAACGAAATTGTGAAAGATCAATTAAATGTGAAAATATATTTGTTAATGATGTTCTTAATAAAAAAAAACAGATATTAGACTAAATTAACAATGATATTCAAAAAAAAGAAACAATTATTTACGATATTTGTTTTTGTTCAAATGAATCTTCATCAGTAGTAGTAAGCACATTGCAATCATTTATTTTATTTTTTGTACATTGTTCTAATGTAGAATTAGGTTCATTTAATGCTTGTAATAATGTATCAATTGTATTAAAAGTATTACATTCATTTTCTGATGAAGGTTTCGTTAGATAATCATTCTTAATGAATGAATAGTTTATAGATGAAAATTCATAAATATGATTATTAACAATATGATTAAGTATTGCTTGTAATATATCCCATATACATGGATCATATGCAAATGAAGTTTGATTGAAAATGGGACTAGTCTAAAATAGAACAGACAAACTTTTGTTTGTGTTTGTTTTTTAATGAATTTAAAAATTTTTTGATGAAGTTTCGAAAAATTTTCAAATAAAAACGAGAGAGAGAGAAAATGATAGTAAAGAATTTATTATTTGTAATTAAATTTTATCAATAAAAATAAATTTTCATTTTACCTGTACAATTTTTTCTTCTTTTAAATTATTAATTTTAATTTCATAAATATTTTTTTCTTTTAAATTTGCTTTAAAATAAAAATCTTCAATAGTTTTAGGTATTTGACTTATATTAATATGTTCTAATTGATAATTATTTATTGTATTTGATAATAAATTATTTTTTATTTGTTTTATATGTGTAAATTCTTGTAGAATAATATTTTGTTCAATTTGTGAATATTGATGATAAATTTTTACACGTTCATTTGTAGAGAATATTTTGTTCTTTATTAAATTACGATCTAATATAGGTTCGATATGATTTGGACACATCCATTTTTCATTTACTAATGGTAATGATATCATTGGTGGTGTTAAACAATCTAAATGATATGTTAATGAACAATAATCACAATGTATTGATGGTCCTTGTTTTAATGAAGATTTTCGACATATAAAACAATATTTTTCTAATGTTAAAGAAATTTTTTGATTATAATTATAAATTGGACCATGAAATTCTTCTGTTTGACATGAAAGAAATAAACAATGTAAAATTTCTAAATGAGTATTAGGAATTTTTATTGATGATGAATCAATACGTTTTCGTTTGAGATTCGATGAAGATAATAATAAAGATTTATTATTATTATTATTAGTTGTTGCACGAAATTTAATTTCGCCTGATGGTTGTATTAAAGATTGACCATTAGATGCTAAATAGATAAAAATTATATTTCAAAATTTTGTATATATATTATTTGAGTTATAAATATGCGAGACTAGAACTAATATCTGTGCTCAATCAACAACCAGCGTATACGATTAGGTGGGGGAAGCTGGGGGATTTCCCTCCTCTAAATTTTTTCGTCCGTTATAGGTTTCTCCTTGAAAATTTTCTTTGCAAGCAATCGGCAGATTATAAAATTTAAGTGAACCGAATGAGCTATGCAAAAGAAAACCATCTATTTTCTCTCAGACAGAAAGCTTTCACTCAAAATATTGAGAAAAATCTGTTGTTGTTTCATTAAGAAAGTTAATCTACTAAACAGCTGAGCGAAACTGATTCAACACTTCTTTGACTTCGAATTATTTTCTCTCTGAATCCAACGTATTTTCTTTTTAGATTCATACTATTTGCTCTGCTATTGATTCATTTTCTCTTTGGATCTGAACGATTATCTCTCCGAAACTGATCCACATTTCGTTTGGATAGTTCAAAGAGAAAATGAAACAATTTCAGAGAAACTAGTTTGGACCTAAAGAGAAAATACGTTGGATTCAGAGAGAAAATAGTTCGAATTCAAAGAAGTGTTGAATCAGTTTCGCTCAGCTGTTTAGTAGATTAACTTTTTTGATGAAACAACAACAGATTTTTCTCAAGATTTTGAGTGAAAGCTCTCTGTGAGTGTGGATGTGAGTATTATTTGAAAGAAGACCTAAACCTACATCCACACCCAAAAAAAAGCGAATCCTTGAAGAATTCTGATTAGATCTGTTAAGGATCTGGCACGAAAACATCGAAGATTTTCCCTAGGAGAGACTAAAATTGCAGTAAAATGCGTAAAAGTCTGGACATAAGCCCTAAAGAGATTTCTTCACATGGAGTTTTTCATACATCAATGGAGTCTACCTTATGCACAGAACCTAAACTCAAAAGCGATTCGGCAGTTGAAAACGGCTCCTCGTGAGAGAAAATAGATGGTTTTCTTTTGTATGGTTCATTCAGTTCACCAAAATATAACAATCCGGTGAGTACTTGTCAAGAAAATTTCGTAGGAGAACACTATAACGGCAAAAAAAAAATTAAAGAGAGGGAAACGGGGGAAACCTCAAATTTCTCTGTTTTCCCTCCTTCTCCCCCTCCCCACTCTCCGTAATCGTATGACCCGCAAGTTTCAACTGAGAATATATTTTGCTGTAAAAAAAGAACTGTTTCTCTCTAGCTTTGGGAGACTTTCTCCCTTGTATCTTCCCCCCTCTAAGTAAAACCAAACGAAAACTATGTCAACAACAGCTAGTGATCTGCAATTCTCAGCATTCAAAAGAAGAGAACTTCGAACGTCTTTTTGCTTGATACAATATAAGAAAAAATTATGACCTCCAGACTTTTCATCGTTGTCATTCCAAACATCCATCTTTAACATCGAATGTTCGGAAATAACATTTAGTCCGTCAACAGATGTTCGGAAAAAAATCTAACGGATGTTCAGAATGAATTATGTCGTATGACAGAGTTACAAAAAGTAGATGTTCATAACAAAACTACCTAGTGTTCGAATGCAAACATAGGAATATTCGAAACAAAACAAACAGTGTTAGATATAGAGCTGTAAAGAAAGAAGAATAGATCTCGTAATCTCAAAAAAAAAACAATAATATTAGTTATTTTGATGTAAAAGTGAATAGAAGTTTGTAATTCAGTACACACTTTCACATCTGTAACTATGTATCTAACATATTGTATACAGTGTTGTGAAAGGGAGTGCATTTCGAACATCGGTTAACTGGAACTAAAGTGCTGCACTAATAAAAGAAGCAAATCTTCATTTTCAACATTCCTGTTTTTCTATTCAGAATTCCCGTGTAAAATTTTACGAACATCCGTTTAAATTATCCAGTTCCTCATACAGAAATGTGCGTGCTTTTACCGTCGCAAACACCCGTTAAAAATTTTTACGAACATCCGTTTATTTTTCGACGATCGTTCCGAATATCCGATATTGTTATCACAAAAGTAATGTTATTTTGAGGAAAACGAATGTTCGGAATGAAAAGTAGCGACGAAATGTCAAAATAATGCTATATAATCAAATAAAATAAATATCATGTTGGTTTGATATACGACTGAAAACTAAAATGTGGTCCGAGACTTTTGCTGTCAACTGTAGATTTAACATGACTGGGACTAGAAAAAAAAGTTTTGTTCTATATATCTCTATTCTTATATTTTCAAAGATTATCAAAATGTTATTAAATAGATATTATACCTGTTGGTAACTTTAATTGTTCTAATTTTGAATGATATTGTTGAGTTTTTTTCGAAGTATTACTATGTAAAAATTTTTTTGGATTAAATGAAAATGGTCGAATAATTTTTTGGTGTTTATTTTGATTTATTAAATCTTGTTGTGTTTTTTTTATAGTTTGACAATTTTCACAAAAATAAGAATTTTTTGAAATATCTTCTTTTGATAATGGTGGATTAATACAAAAAATATGAAATGTTGTTAAACATATATTACATGATATCATTTCACCAAAACATTCACCACATGAATTACAATAATTATTATTAATCATATGATGATGATGAATATGAGTTTCGTTTTTATTTGATGTAATATAATGTGAATATGATTTTAGTTTTTTTGTTGAATTATTATTATTATTGGAAATACTATGTATAAGACGTTTCTTTTTTATATCATTTATTTTTGATTTTTTATTAAATCTTTTCGTTGATCGTGTCTCATTAATAGTTATTGATGTAATATTTTTTGATTTTAATCTTTTATTTATTGTTATTATAGTATTATCGTTTGTATTTGGATGACATTTTGCAGAGTCTAGAAAAATAAAAATAATAAAATTGACTATTGATTTTTAGCAAAAATTTCTCATTCAATATCATTCAAGTGCATTGTGAGAGTTTACTAGTAGGATTGAGCATAAATCTCGATATGAGTTTAATAGACTGCGAGAGCAATACTCGAAAAATGAAGTAAAATCCTATTGTAAGAAATAGTTGAAGTATTTTCATTGAGTTTACAAATCAGTAAGAGAATATGAGATTCTATAGGAAGATGATTCGCTTTTTTTTTGTTATTACTAAATAAAACCAATTAAAACTCTACATGAAAAAATGTAAAATTCTACAGTTGTCTTTGCAAATATTCTAAGATTCAGTAGATGACTATCCTTCTTCCTCAACTTATATTGACATCACAATACTATTTATTCTAGAAACGAGATATTACTAAAAAACTGTATTTTTCTGAATGACATTTGTCTACCTAAAAACGATCATGTTAGGTCAATGTTGCGGAGAAAATTTCTCGAATACAAAATATTCGAAATTTTTTGTTTTTTTGACTTTCATATATTCTATATTTGTTTTGAATAATAGCAAAAATAAATGATAGTTATTAACCAAAATCGAGAATTTTTTGTGCAAAGAAAGAGTCTTTCTTATCTTTTACCACATTCCATCATTGTAAAAAATGAAAATAATATTAGTATCGATGAAGGTTGAACTTCAGTTTGATATTTAGTGAATCACCTGTCTTCTAATTGTCAAAACTATATTTGTTTAGTGGGTCTAAAAAAACTCAGTTGCTGAATGCGTTACCGTATTATTTTACTTTTAATTCTTTCCAAAAACAAATTTCACCATCGTGAGGTCTGTTGTCTTAGCTACACATACGAACTTTGCTTTAAATAGCTCTAATGTGATAGGAATCCTTTTGTATGAATATGTTACCATGACTTTAAAATCGTCATAGTTCAACGAAAATTTTAATGAAACTAGAACTTTCATATATCTTACTGCGGTGTAAATTTTAGCTCTTTGTGTCACATTAACTTCCTAAGTTATGACAACCCAAAGATCAAAAATGGATGAGTGCGTTGTCTATCAACAGGAAGACTACTTCTGTCTTTCAGCTACCTTATGACAGATTTAGACACCAGCAAGAAAATAATCATTTGTTTCGCGAAAAGGTTTTTTTATCCGTACTCCACTCCAAGAGGCGTTTCATATCAGAGCACAGGACAGTTTCATCTATCTTTTATACATATCGAACAACATAGCGGTTTACCTGTGGACAAACTATAAAAGAAAATCAATATTTCTACGTTTATATCATATTCATCAAATAACTACAGTTCACTTTGAAAGTAATCTAAAAAAAATAACAGTGCAACATGATGATAGAAACTTACGACAAAGTTTAACGCGTCCTATATTTGCTCATTGCTTACATCTCGTATCTTAACGTATTACGCATCTAAGAACATTAAAACAGTGAGAAATTATTTTTTGTTTTTATTAGTTATTCAATCAATCAGATGTTAATAATTGTTTTTGTTAGTATCATTTATAGAGGTTTGTCTTCTATGTTCGTCATACTTTGTTTTGTTTCATATGATTTTTTTTTAAACATAAACAAAATCATAAAACAAACCATTTATTTCATAGTTTGAAGATGAAAGAAAATCATTTGTATGATTCATCATTTATTATCCATATTGAAGACACGGTAGAGATTTTTTTTCTTTCGATAATCTAAAATTAATAGAACAAAACAAAAAAAAAATCAAACATACCATCTTTAAATTTTCAGTAAATACACATACAACAATAATAAATGAAAATAAATAATAAAGAAAAAACAAAAGCAACAATAAGAACAAATTGTTTAAACATTAGAAATAATGTTTTTTCTTTTCTTTTTCTATGGATCATCAATCTGAAAGACATTTCTAATAGAATAAGTCATTGTTGTTCACTGTATATATATACAAAACACGGAAACAAAAACAAAACAAGGACTAAGAATAAAACAAACACATATCAACTCTGTTGATTCGAATTATTTAATAAAAGATGTGATGGTCCAAATATTTCAATATCTTCTTCATCATCATCATGCTCTGTTAGAATTGATTTATGATAACCATTTGTATTAGTTGTTTTATTTAATATATCACCGGCATGTTTAATTGATGGTAATTTAGGTAAATTAATAAATGTTTTAGGAGAAAAAAGTATATAGGAAATAATTAATATACTTAAAAAATTAACTAATGTAACAACACTTATAATTAATTTAACTCGATATAATTCTGTAACAAATGACATTATAAATATTAATGCTGTTGGATAAATAAACCAAACCTTTTTTTTTTTTAAGAATTAGAATAATAAAATTTATTTTTTTTTTTTTTTGAAAAATTTTTCTTACCATACAACTTGCACCAAAATGATGAAAAAATTGTAATTTTTCTAAATGTTTTTCTTCTTGTGTTGTTTCTTTTAATTCAAATACAAATAAAAGCATAAGAAAACAACGAAATAATAAAGAAAAATAATTTGCAAATGTTTGATAATGATTAGAATCCGTTACTGGATTTATTGTTATTATACTTAATATATAACAAGAACAACAAGCTATTGTATAGAGAACAAATAACATAACCGTCTTTTTTCCTTGGCGAAGTACCGGTGTATTTACCAACCAACCTATAATTAAACGTAAAATAAAAGCTTGTTAGTGTAATCGTTTTGGAGTTCATATGGAAGTATTTTAGCTTAATTGTACTAATGTCAAATGGAAAATCTCCAAGACGATTTTTCGTCGAACTACATCAGATTTACGAAAGAATTTTTGTCAAGCCGTTCTCTCTCCGGAACAAATGGCCAAACGAGAGTGTGTCTAATCGATCTGTTCATACTATCCATATATCGGAGACACAAACATTCTATTCTAATCGCTAGTTCTTCAGGTTTAGGACAGTCGTTCGCTGATATTTCATCGCCAGAACACTTTCCATATCAATACGCGCGAGCAATTGTCCTTGCAAGCAGCTATCTGGCGTCCGTTTCATCAGTGGCTCTTTTGGAATCTCTATAGAGTATAGGGTTAACTTGATTGTTATTCTAACTATTGATTTAACTGGCAAATAAGCTTGTTGTACGTATCCATTATATCTACAGTAGGTCTTCAACGCAATATTATATATTTCGATACATTCAGGAACACTGATATTGATTATTTCCAAAAGTTATAGTTTGATGAGTTCACACTTTTTATGTTGATCATATGACGACTATGGGAAGTCAACGTATCACTATCCATCATTTTTGACATCTTAAAATACAAATTTCTATCTGCACAAAAAACGAAAACTGCTCTATTTAGAACATTCACAAAGTTTAGTGTCTTTTTCTATTGTTCAAAAATTCTGGAAAAGAAGTCAGACGCCTATTGTCCTCGATTGCTATGAGGAGGGAGTGACGGGCAGAATTATATATTAGAGAGAAGACTTTCGTTTTCCAAAAATTTCTCTGGAAATAAACCATGACAGATACTCATATGAAGACGCTTACTGCTGAATTTTCATCCTCTCTCCATTCTCAAAAACTCTAGTAAAGAGGTATGCAAAATTTCGATAGTGGCGAAGTTTTCTGGAAAAAAAATACAATTCTTCATTTTCTGTATATTTGATCATAGATCAATCAACATTTCTATTCTATAAATACTCGAATTACACGAGAACTAATATTACATATGAAACTAGGTATTTCAAAATGGTAGAAAGCCACTGTGACCTCACGTGAGGTCACCTGTCCTCAAAAGGATCAAAACGTACATTCATTATTTTTTTTTCTTCAAAGAAAACAAATAATAATAATAATAATATGAATTCTATAAAATAAAATTTCAATTTTATATTACCTTTAGCAATAAATAGAAGTAAAAGAATAAGAATTGATTCACCAATAATTGTAATTAAATTTCCAATATGTATTAATATATTAATTCCAATACCATTATATGCAAATATTAAATAATGTATTAAATTTAAAGTATTACCAATAAAGAATAATAATTGAAATAAAAAATATGATATTAATATTGGATGTGTTATATTTATCAATGAACGTATTTTAATTATAAGAAAAGGTAATGGAATAAATAAATAAAATAATATACAAACAGTATATACTTCCACAAGATCATATATATCAAATGAAAAATGATATTCAAAACGATTATCACGAATTTTTGCTTCGGGATTACCATTTACAATCCATATATCATAATTTATTTGAAAATTATCATCAACTTTTTCCCAATGACATGTTATTGGATCCCAATAACATGATATTAAACTTAAATACCAAAATCTATAATAAATATATTTCAATCATAACTTTTTATTAAAAAAAAGAAAAAACATCATTTTTTTTCGATCGATTATATAACGATAAGAATCTTTCTTTTTTTGTTGTATGCTTCTAGTTAGTTAACAAACACTTATGTAAAAGAATACTGAATTTTGACGATAAAATTTTAAAAGATTTCAATAATCTAACAAAAAACAAAGAATCGAACAAACCTTGGTTGATTAATATCACGTATTTTAAATGTAAATTGTTGATTATGTATAACATTTGTTGGTTGATCTTCATCAGAACATAAATGATCTTGTTGACATGGTATATGACGCCAAAAATCTTCTGTACCTTGTTCATTACATTGTCTATGAAATGCAATTGTTTGAATTTGTTTCATCATATCAGAACATGATTGTAAACGTTGTTTTTTATATAATGGTAAAAAATAATCATAATCAAGTATAAGAAATAAAATTGTTTTTGTTAATGACGAACAATTATTTTTAGGACAATCAAGTGTTATATTACCATATATATAACCAAATGTATCATCTGGACGATGTTGATCAGTTTTTTGTATACCAAATTTAGTTAATAAACGAAAAAATTCTTTTGTAGAATAATGATCATGTAAATGAAGTGCAAAAATAAATGATTGAGTAAATGAATAAAATAAAATTAAAGAGATTATTAATCGTATTAACATGGAAATAAAAATTTTAGATGAACTTTTTTTTTCTTCTAAAATAAATAGTGTAAGAAGGACAAAAAAAAAGAAGAATAGAGCTTAATAATATATAATAAACAAGCGGAAACACCTAGGGCAAGACAAAAAAAACGAGTCATATTATTTGATTGGTTTAAGTAGAGGTCACTCGAATTCGATGTTTAATTAAAATTAGAAAAATTATTTTTTGATATAAAAAAAAGTTATAGTTTTTCTTTTTTGTTGAAAAGAAATTTTTATTAATAAATATTTTAATTAAATATCATGGTTAATTCATCTATGAGAGAACATTTAGTAAATGAAGGATCATTTTGTTTGGTTGTTAAAGAATCAATAAGAAAAATACTGACGCGAGTGTTCGTAGTTATTTGTTTATTTCTTTTCGAGTCAATAGATGGAATAGATGAAAGTAAACTTTCCTTTTTTTTTTCAAAAATTTAAAGTAATTAATAAGATATTTATTATCTTTTGATAGAAGAAGTTTTAGTTGAGTTACGTTTCTCAATTGATTCTGTTTCGAATTTCTTGTCTTATATTAACACAATGCATATTAAAGAATCAAATTTCTTTTGTTTTTTTTAGATATCGTTTTCGATCAATTAAATAACAGCAAAAAAAAGAAAAAAAAACAAAAAGATGCCAAAGACGGCCCTTGCACGCAAAAAAGCTGTAAATTCATTTAATTAAAATTATTATTATTCTTACAAAGAAAATTTTTTGTCTATATTTTAGTTGCAACCAGTTGGTTTTCGTACCCAACCAATAATTATTGATGGTCGTGGCCACTTAATTGGTCGTTTAGCAGCAACAGTCGCCAAAACAATCTTACAAGGTCATAATGTCGTTATTGTACGATGTGAAAGTCTTAATATTAGTGGATCATTTTATCGAAATAAACTTAAATATTTGGAATTTCTTCGTAAACGTTGTAACATTAATCCATCACGTGGTCCATTTCATTTTCGTGCACCATCAAAAATCTTTACACGTATTGTACGTGGTATGGTACCACATAAAACTGAACGTGGTAAACAAGCATTAGTACGTTTACGTGCATTCGAAGGTATTCCAACACCATATGATAAAAAGAAACGTATGGTTGTTCCAAGTGCTTTACGTACATTACGACTTAAACCACGTCGTCGTTTTACTGAACTTGGTCGTTTATCAAGTGAAGTTGGTTGGCAATATCAAACTGTTGTTGCAACATTAGAAAAAAAACGAAAAATTAAGGCTAAACATTATTATTTACGACAACGTAATTTGAAAAAACTTAAAACAGATGCAACAAAAAATTTAGCTTCAAAACCACAAGTTGCTAAACATCTTGCCGTACTTCAACAGTATGGTTATCAACTATAAAAAAAAAAAGAACGGTTATTGTTTTTGTTGTTTTCTTTTGTTTGTTTGATTTATTTGTCATCAGTGATTGTAATTAAACAACAATAACAAAAAAAGAAAAATTCATACACATATGAAAAAAGAATAAACAATAAATATCGAGAACATACTCATAAAAATTTATTCAGTTCGAATGCCTATGTTTTTTTTTTTCGTTCGGCTCTTCTAAAAGTTGTAATTTCAGTGCAACTAATGCTTAGACATGTTTAGGATCATGTACAAAATTTTAGATTTAGAAGTCTTAAGCTTCGTTGTATTTTGAATTCTCACGAGAATATTTGCAAAGTATGTTTTTGTATGACTAGTAAATTAATTTAACTTACAAGGAAAATTGTACTCATTAGGGAGTTGTGGGTCCTTCCAAACCCAAGCCTGATTGAGTCCGAGTCCGAAATTTAATTTATTATCGACTAGCATTAAAAATTTGTTGTGCAAAATTTTTAAAACTGATATCATTAATTGTTTTGAATGATTGACAGTGAAATACTGCAAATTCAACATTAATTTCCCATTCAACTTGATCTGGACTAGTTGGTTCATTTTTTGAAGATGTATAAAATTGATTGATACTTATTTGAGCATTGAAAACTGTCGTTTTTGTTTATTTTGACAACTATGAATATGCTTATATAGCGAGTACCAAAAGATGATTTATAAATAAGTAAATCTTTACATTGATCTCGCTTACATAAATGCAAATAAGACGATTCCATACAATTGAAGAGTTAGGTGTTACTGTTGGTTTGACAATTCTTTTAATTTATTAAACATCGAATGATAGAAAAGTGAAAAACAAGAAATAATTGTACATTGACTTTTTTTTTCTAAGAGCAATCAATAAATAGATCAAACTTTGATCCTTCAATTGTTTATGTACATGTATATGATGAGAATCATACACAAATGATGACGCTACATCAAACCAGCAGTATATTTAATAACAGCTCTATAGAGTATGACACACACACACACACGAAATAAAAGTTTTTTCTATCTTGCTTGATGTTAGTATTTTATTAAATTAATTATTTGTATTTCTTTAACTTATAGATCATCTATCAAAATATGAAAGCTTCCATTATTTTTGTTGTTCTAATTGGTATTTCTCTCCTCTATTAAGTCCATATATTCGTATTGATAGTCATGTATATCATGGCAAAATGACTTATTAAGCTACCAGCAGCTGTAGTGATCGATTCAATTCACTTTATGTTGGAGAACGCAATCGCATTTGTTCTCCTTCAAGTGATTTCATAGGTAATGATGATGGTAAAATGCATGGATTTTAGTGAAAAAGCAATGAAAATGGGAGATATTTGGGTAGTTTCACGTAGTTAATCAGTTTTCGTATTAAATCTCTTGTCTTCGAAATAAAATAATATAATTCAACAATAGTGTATATTTTTTGTCTAGAAAATGTTCTCTGTATTCTTCAATATCAGATTACAAACTCGAGATGAATCAAATTACGATATTATTCATTTGGATTCTGGCGAAGTTTAAGTATGCTTGAGTTAATGTCTCGATTAGAAGTGTCTTGCTTCAGTTTCTATTTTTGAAAATTGCAAGCAGATGTGTTCTTGGGTTTCGAAAAATATCTACGAAACATCAGCAGGAGAACGTGGATTTGTCTTCTTCATAATTTTTCTATGTTTATAGTTTTCACAAAATTCAGATACTAATTTATTGCGTGTTCTCGAAAATATGTTGTGTTTCCAACAGTCCAGTCACACATTGTCCAATACTTCACCACAAAACTAACCTCAATGTAATCATACACTCTTCAAAAGATTCTAAAATCTTCATCTGATAATAACGATGCTTTTCTGTGAGCAACGAGAGAAATATCTATTGAAACGATGGTTTATCCAATAGAGAAGAACACGAAGAGTAAAAGAGAAATAAGTGACAGATTATTGCTCGTCATATAGATAAAATTTAGGTTTGTTCTCTGTATAGCTGAAAATATAATCAAGCTGCAGTGTTGCTATTATGCCATGTTGAAGTTCATCTACACTTATAAAGGTCTTTACACACGTTATTCTCCTGCTAGGAGGAAATATTAGGTAAGTTTAAATAATAGTGTGATTGATTGATCAGGTAAAGCATTGATTCGAGAAAAAACCTGATTTTTTTCTTACGAATTTTTCTCGTTAAATAGCGCTTTTATTACAAATCTGTCGAAATTTTTCTTCTCTCAAAATTTGGTTATTGCACATGTATTTCATGAATGAAAGCCGTTTTGATTAATAGCTTCTGGGTGATATATCTTCACTTATCATAATCGAAAAGATCTTAGCACAGTCGTATATGCTTGTTTATATAATGAGAAAAAACACAGCTAATCTAGCTTTTAATCTCTATTCGAATGTTATTCCTCATAAAAATATTTTCGTCTTCATCCTACTGTTTTCGACATGTTTGCAGAAATCGAACAGAGAATCACTTTAAATCTTTAAGTTTTCTTTATTTTAAAGTTCATAAATTTTAACATATTTACAATTATTATCTTCTTCTCGTTATTGTTTATTAGTAGCTAGTCATGTATTCGACCTGACAGAAGTACAACATATTGCATTTGTAAATGTTGTAACACTGCTTCCGAATGCAACGTTTTATTTGTAGCCGAAAATTTATTTGAAATACATATTGGTCAATGCAAGGAAGAATATGGATGTGAGTGTGGATGTCTGAATTGTAGCCACAATTCACTCACACGCACACTTCACACCCACATCCTTATAGAAATATGTTGTCTTAATTGACGATGAAAGATGAGAAGATATCATCTAATTCAAATTCAATTCGTGCTAGACATTTCATATTCTTTTGTAATAAGTTGCGAAAAAAAAGTATGAATAGTAATAGAGTTAAAGAATCGTTATTAATTCGATGAAAATAACAACTTCCTCAAAACTCTTACCGTCATCCTCGAAAAGCAAAATATTGATTTAAGCCTTAGAAAAATTACTTCGCTGAACTTTTATCATTATCAAAACAAAACCCGTTTTCCGGTTATTGGTACATCAATAAGTTTAATACAATTGGTAAGGATGACGATCACAATTATGAATTTTTCAATACTTGAGTATTAAATTTTCTTGCATTCCTGTTATATCTATATGTCGCACAATAAACTTTAACATATTTCTACAAAATAAATGTGTCTTAAATGTCTAAGAAAAGCTTGTGTTATACTAATCATATTTTTGAATAAATCAAAGATATTAATCGCTGGTATTTTTTTCTCAAAGCATGTTTTTACTGCATTCAACAAGACTTCGTTTTTTTTTGATAATTGATCGTATTTAAACGAATTTATCCTTCGAAATTTGTTGGGTAGATGTGGATGTGCGTGTGAATTTGCTTCTTGTCAGACACCCACACCCCTAATAAAAATACAAGCAACATGTATTGATCACTTTCCAATATTTTCTAAATAGAAATTGATCAGTAACCTACATAAATATCTTGCACGAGTATAGGTTAATGATGTTGACAAAGATTTTTGAAAATGATATTTATTTTTACTATTGAATAATGTCAATAAGAGATTTTTAAATAGATAAACAAGTTGAATCAATTTGTTAGATAGTCGAATTTGAATAAAATTGTTTATTGTAACATAATTGTGTTATAAAATAAATATTTGATAAAATAAACAAAAAAAAATTTCAATAATTTCTTAATAATTTTTAATCATAATATGAGCATCAAACATTATTTTTTTCCCAGATAACTAATGTAAAATAATTTCTATTTTTTTCTAAATTAATTTATTCATTATGATTGTCATCAATAAAAAATTTTTAATTTTCGATTATTTCTCATTAATCGAAATTTTGCTGGAAGATAGAATTGTTTATTTTTCAAACTAAATGTGATAGATTTTTATCACAAGTTCATAAATAATATAAAAAAAAGGATATCATATCACAAGATAAATTTTCTTTTGTTTTTTTTGTTCTTCAGATCAAACATGTTGAACAATTTCAAATTGAATCAAAACGAAAGCAACAATTAGAAAAAAAAAAAAATTAGCTGACATTATCAGTAAAAATGGTCAAAAAATATCAACAAATGAAATACATATTGCTGCATTATCTGAATAGATTGATCTTATTGAAAAACAACAGTAAATTTCTATTTGTTTTTTTTTTCTTTTCTAAAAAAAAACACAAAATCATTTTTTCAGTGCACAAGATCAAATAATTATTCAACGATTAAAACAATGTACAGCTCAACTTTATGTTGAAAATGCTCCATTAACAAAAATTTCATCAACATCTATTAAACATGATGATATTGATATAACAAATAATGATAATAATAATAATAATCGTGATTTAGATACATTAATATAATGTATTGCTAAATTAAAAGTTTTAATACGTTTTGCAAATGATTATTTTGGTAAATCTTTAATAATTGAAGGTAGAAATAATGAAATTTAATTTGATTTGATTTTTGTTTTTATTAAAATACATATTCTTAATATTGATCGCGTGAAATGTGATCAGAAAGAATAAATATTAATGGAATAAATTTATCAACAGAAAATAATAAAATAT